AGCATCATATTCTTCCTCCTTCTTTGGGATGGTGGTTTCACCAACCTTTTTCATTGGCATCGTCTCACCATTTTTGATGATTAACCACAGTTGGAAGTTGATTGACCGAATGTAAATCCTCATTCGTTCCTTCCAATAGGTGTAGTTTGTTCCATCGAAGAGTGGAGGTCTAACGGTGGAGTGTCCTTCACTTAATCCTGCATACGACATTCTCAACAAAAAAATATAGATCGTTCTCTCAACCGGTTAAGGCTTGTAGAGAGTTAGGCTCTGATACCAATTGTTAGAATAAGTGCCCTTCACTAGAGGGGGGGGGGTGAATAGTGAGGCACGAGAATGTTTATAAATTTTTGCGGAATAAAAATCGCAGGGATAAAGTAAAGAACGTAAAAAGTAAAGAGCGTAAAAACACGAAGCCTGAGAACTCGAGTCCCACGAGCCTCAATACACTTGCTCAGAGATACCGCACTCCAAGACTTCAACTCGAAGGAATATGCCCTTCCTTCGTACAACCAAGGGAACAAACCTCCCTTAAAGTGTTCACAACACCTAACCACTCAAGAACAAAAACTCTCTTAAAGAGTAGAATATGAGTAAACTAATTTAGATCAAGAACACACTCAATTCCTCAAGAAATGGCTCTAAAAAAGCTATGTAAAAAGTTTATGGAATGATGCAATGTAAAGTTATGAAATGTGTGAGGAATGGATGTAAAAAGTAGACCCAAGAGACCCCTTTTTATACCCAAAAACAAGGTGCAACGGTTGGGAGAAGATTGGAGTTGATTGGCTTGATTTGTGGAAATCAAATAAAAGTGGATCTACTGAAATCTAGCCCGACAGCGCTGTTCATATAGTGAACATCGCTGTTCTGGCTTTGACTTTCCTTTAAAAGTGGCTAACAGTCATCAAAACATCGATGTCTAGAAGTCTACATCGCTGTTGGGGTGTTTGACTTTCAAAAATGGAAAGATTTTGTCTTAAATAGCCCAACGATCATTTGAAAACATCGCTGTTCAAAAACTTACTGCCCTGGGCTTCTGAAGGCCAACATCGCTGTCGGGATTTCCGACATGCATTTCGGGATGGTTTGCCAGAACCATGGTTTGGCAGCCAACGCCGAAAACCGATGTCAAAAACCAAAGTTCTCCAAAATGAAAACCAAGTGTTGGAAACTCTTATATAATGTATTTTAGGTAGAAACCAAGTATAAAAAGGTAAAAACCACTTCATTAAGGTAAAAACCACGGCTAGCCAAGTTTATGCCGTTTCACATGGTTTTCACCAAAAGACCAAAAACGAAAGGTGGTTTTTGACATGTTTTTGTTGTAGAACCATTTGGATATGTCCAGAAGTAAAAACCAATCATAAAATATTAAAAACCACTTGATTGATTTGGACGCCAAAAACCAACGCCGATAACCAACACCGAATGCTGATAACCAACGCCGAAAAACAAAGGTTATGGTTTTTGAAAACTAATGATTTGGAAAACCTTTTAATGTGTCCAGAAGCTTAAACCAAGGATAAAACCCAAAAACCATTTGGTTAAAATCAATGCCAATAACCAATGCCGAAAACCGAACGCCATAGCCGAACGCCGATAACCGATGGTTATGGTTTTGGTTAAGCAAGAACCATGGGTTTTAGAAACTTAAAAACCATTTATGAAAACACTCATTTGATGCATGAAAAACATATTTTGTTTTGAGCCATGACATAGAGAAATTGAATGAGCTTGTTACAATAAAAACCTAAGTATTTAGAATACGTCTTCAAAGCTCCAATGTCGTCATCTTTAGAAGCGTCAATGCCTTTCTTGTGCTTTTTGTTTCTTCAAAGAACTTTTTCAATCTCTTTGAATCTTTTCATTTTGTTCCATGTTCCCGACGGTTTGTCAATATCAAAACCTAAACGGAAACAAACATTGTCATTAGCAAAATGTCAAAGTGAAAATATTTTCCAACAATTATGGACACATGGAAGGTGACATGTATCTTGTTAAGCTCCTGAGGTGATGTTAGATGATAGATTACCAGTCTGACATGTTCAATGACTTCGTATAGGTCGATAAATGAGGGACTAAGCATATCTTTTTTTCAAATCGTAAAAACTATCCTCCAAGGTCCACCTTAAGAAAAACCTTTTCTCTCGTGGTGAATTCAATGTCTTTTGGCTTTATGTCTGGTTCGTTTCATTTACTCTCGCTAATTTTAACCTTGCACACATGCATTTTAAATTGCCTTCGGTGTAGTATTTTACATGGAGTCATTTGTATACTAGCCAGGTAGATGTTGTAAATGAATTCCATTAACGATTCATATTTCTCCCAATTGGTTCTGAAGTTGATGACACAGCCTAGCATAATGTCTTCCAGAACTTAGATAACTCGTTCTGATTACCCATTAGTCTATGGATGAAAAGGGATGCTAAATCTTAACTTTATTCCCTATGCTTTTTAAAGGCGTCCCCAAAATTGTGAAGTGAATCTCATGTTAGAATCAAATATGATCCACAATGGAATTTTTTGTAGTCTTATGATCTCTAAAATGTATAAGTATGCTAGTTTGTGTAGTGAACAATCCCTCCCTTTGCATAGGTAACAAGCTAGTTGACACAGTCAATCGATCTAGTATCACCAAGATAGAGTTATTCTTTAAAGATATCAGTGGTAAACTGATCACATAATCTAGTATAATATAATCCCAACTCAACATTCGAATAGTAATTGTTTGTAACAATCGAGGTAATACTTAACTTATTACTTGGCTTTAACTAGTTGACTTGTCAAGAACTTGATTTTGAATTCCATAAAGTTGTGATTTAAATGTCACACCTATTAATATGCATGTTATATTTCGTGTTGTGAGCTTTGCATAACCTTTTGTTGTAGGCCGCCTTTTGGAATGACCAATAATTTTCGTAGATTAGCCCTTGATTTGGTCGAATAGAAAGCTCTTGTCTCTCCCCCTTAGATACAAGTTGAGATATCATTTCACAAAAAAAAGTTAAAGGCTTCTGTGGTGAAGATCTTACACTCAAGAGTCAGTTGTAGATGAGGTTCACCTTTCAAATGTGGGGTTAATGTAACGCCTCGAAAATAGGCCCGTCAGAATTAATTAGTTGATAATTAATTAATTATTGAGATGGACCCAAAAATAAGTAATTTATAAAATTTGTCAATTAATTTTGAAAATTATACCATTGTTGTTGAAACACGGGCATGTCACGTTTTCGTACTAAAGCCGTGTTCGTTTTTGTAACAGGTTTTGATAATGCCAAACCGCCGTGATCAAGACAAACATTGAATATACAAGGCGAAGAACGAAGATAAAGAACAAGAACTAAAAGAGACCAAGAACGAAGACCGCAGTCTTTAGTATTGTTGAGTGGGTCATAATTGTAATCAAGACCGACCCAACCCTCACGCATTGGCTCTTTAGGCTAAAATCTTTCATTGCATTTCTTACATCATAAAAATGTTTTTCAAACTTGTTTAAGTCATTAAAAACACTTGGTGTTCGACCAAACCAAAAACCAAGCCATCCAGCGTTCGGGTTCAGAAACCGGCGTTCGGCTTTCGGTTATCGGCATTGGTTTTTGGCGTCCGGACCAACCGAGTGGTTTTCAACTTTTTATGATTGATTTTCACTCTTTGGCATGTTTAAACGGTTCTCCAACAAAAACACCTTGAAAACCATCTTTCGCTTTTGGTCGTTTGACAAAAATCTTTCAAAACGGCATAAACTTGGCTAGCCGTGGTTTTCACTCAAATGACGTGATTTTTAAAGTGTCTTTACTTGATTTCTTAGCCAAATACATCAAATAAGTGTTTTAAACACTTGGTTTTTATTTTGGAGAACTTTGGATTTTTCGGTCGGTTTTTGCATCGGTTGGCTAGGCCGTGGTTAAGGCAAAAACCATGGGTTCTTGACTAACCACCCACCCAGCGATGGGAAGATCTTCCCATCGATGGGAAAGTGGTCCCTTAGCCAAACCAATTTCCAGAACCATGCCAAACAGCGATGGGAAGTTCTACCCATCGCTGTTCAAGCCTTGGTGCAAAATTATCACAAGGCAGAACAACCTTGCCCAGCGATGGGAAACCTATCCCATCGATGGGAACCCAGCGATGGTAAGTCCAAACCATCGATGGGAAGGCATGACCGTTGGAAGTCATTTAAGGTTGATTCTTTCCTTGTTTGGAAGTCAACCTCCCACCCAGTGATGGGAAGCTTGTACCCATTGATGGGTAGGTAACTGTTGGCTTCAAAACTGAAGGAAAATTGGCTTACCAGCGATGGGTAAGTCCTAAACATCGATGGGAAGCCAATATTCTGCAGATCCCAAATCTTTTCAATCCCATAAATCAAGCCAATCACCCCTTTAATGCATTGGTCCGTTGGAGCCTACATTGCACTATAAAAAGGGGTGTTTGGGTCTGCTTTTCTCACCAATTAACTTCACAACATTCATACTTTCATTGCATTCAAATATCATCATTTTCCATAGCTTTCTAGAGCCATTTTGTGTGAAGGTTGAGTTGTTCTTGAGCGTACTTAGTTTACTCATAATCTACTCTATAAGAGAGTCTCGTTCTTGAGTATACTTGTGTTCTTAGACACGTTGAGAGAAAGTATTTCTCTCAGTTGATTCAAAGGAAGGTCTGTTTCCTTTGAAGGATTTGTTGAGGTTCGTGTGACTCGAACTCTCAAGTTGTAACGGTTTGTTAAGCACCCGCAAGCTTAACGAGATAGTAGTGTAGCTCGAGAGAGTCTCTCGGGAGGCTGGATTAGCCACAAGTTGTGGTGAACCAGGATAAAGTTCGGTGTGCCTTTTACTCTTCTCTTTACATCTCTTTTAATTTTTTAATTCCTGCGATTTCTCCGATCAAACGCTATTCACCCCCCCTCTAGCGTTGGTCTATTATTCTAACAATTGGTATCAGAGCCTAACTCGCGTCCAAACTTAACCATTTGAGAGTAAAGCGATGTACCCAAGAAGAAGATCTTTAGAAATACGTCCTTAACCTCTTCCAGTTAGTTGGAGATCCGGTGGCGAGAAACTACCGTGGTTGATGTGTATAACCTTTCTCGCCTACTCTTAAATATAGGCGAGTTGGTTGAAAGTCAACACCAACCAGTAGTTCTTACCGCTCCTTTAAGGTTACTTCTAGGTCGGTGAAAAACTCGTCCCAAAAACCGAGGACGAATTTGATGCCGAAGACATCAAAAAGGTGGAGAACTACGCCAAGGCTATTAATATGCTATACTGTGCCGTGAATCCTGATGATTATCGCAAGATCTCTTGCTGCACCACTGCAAAAGAAATGTGGGACAAGCTGGAGGTCACATATGAAGGTACGGACCAAGTTCGGGAAGCCAAAATTGACTTCCTAACGCAGGAGTACGAGATGTTCCGGATGAAGGAAGGCGAAAAGATCGATGACATGTTCGATCGGTTCTCAAAGATCATCAACGACCTTCACGCTCTCAAGAAGACGTACGCCAACAAGGATCTCGTGAGGAAAGTCCTGCGGAGTCTCACACCCGAATGGAGATTAAAGGCTGACGCAATCTATGAATCCATCGGAGTCTCCAATGTCACCATCGACGGGCTAAGAGGTAACCTCAAAACTTATGAATCCACTATCCTAACCCCGTCTTTGGATGAACAAAAGAAGAAGGGAATAACACTGAAAGCAACTAAGGAGACCGTGGAAGTAGACTCAAGCGATGATGACAACGAGTTTGGACTCGTCATCAAGAAATTCCACAAATTTATGAGGAAGGAATTTGAACACAAAGGAAGAAAGCACGACGGTCCCCCAAAGTGCTATGGGTGTGGCGAGATAGGCCAAATCAAGCCGAGGTGTCCAAAAGGCAAAAGCGACAAGGACAAACCTGGCTTCAAAAAGCAACGTGCCTATATCTCGTGGGGTGGTGACTCCGGAGACGAGTCAACTGATCAAGAAGAGGAGGAAGCCGCCAACCTCTGTCTCATGGCGCACGAAGATCAAACCAACAACGTTCAAGAGGTATGTACTCCTTCTCCCGACTCTTACACTTTTGAAGAGATGCCAGAAGCCCTTCGAGAACTTTACGATGAATTTGTTAGCGCTTCTAAAACCAACAAATCATTAAAGAAACGTCTTTCAACCCTTGAAAATGATTTTGAAAAACTGGAAAAAGATAATGAAAAGCTGAAACAAGAAAACAAATTTTATGGTAAAAGAAGCGCTGACAAACCGGAAAACTCTTCAAGTGAATGTGAATCTTGCAAAACTTTAAAAGAAAAGGTTGCAAAACTTGAGAGTACGGTTAAGAAGTTTAATACACCACACAAAGATCTTAATTTACTTCTGGACACTATGCATTTTTCTAAGGAAGGAATAGGTTTTGATAAAAATGAATCTAAGGATAAAAACGTTGAGCAAACACCTAGACAACCTCCTAATGCTCAACATAAGAAAGTTAAAAATCAGGATAATAGAAAATCTAGTCAACCTAGGGACACTAGACAACCTAGACAAAAACCTAGGAATGAAAATTCGCATGCTAGACCCTAAGAAAAGTTATCAAAATGATTTTGTGCATAAAAATAATTTTTCAAATAGACAAAATAATACTAGGACACCTAGAAGGGAAAATTTTCAAAAACCAATGTTTTCTCAAAACAGGATGAATATGGTTGGTTAGGCCCCCTAGCAACTACTATCAACCTAGGAGGATGCACAACCCAAACGTAGTTTGCCATTATTGCAATAGGGTAGGACATATAGCTCCCGTTTGCTTTACTAGGCATAGGCATTGGGCACAAAATGAATCACACTACCACTTTGCACCTAACACTCAAGGACCCCAAAAGACTTGGGTACCTAAATCCTATTAAATCATCTTTGTAGGTATGCTTGAAGGCGTCAAGTGTACTTTGGTACCTTGATAGCGGATGTTCCAAGCACATGACCGGAGATGTATCCAAGTTCCTACAAATCAAACCCGCTAAAGGAGGAAACGTAGTCTTTGGAGACAATAGCAAAGGAAAAATAATTGGCGTCGGCTCAGTAGGTAAGTCCGAAGACTCTTCTATAGATAATGTCTTGCTTGCTAAAGGTCTTAAACACAATCTCTTGAGCATAAGTCAATTATGTGACAAGGGAAACCGTGTGACCTTCGATTCAAAATCATGCACTGTAGAACGCCTTAGTGACAATAAGGTCATTCTACGTGGTGATAGAATCGATAACATTTATATGGTTAACTTAGACAAATCTCCTTCCGGCTTTGCTAAGTGCCTCATGAGTAAAGAGGAAGACACTTGGCTATGGCACCGA